CCCGGCGTCCCTGCGCCGGGCCCGGCGGGCGCCGCGCTGGGGCTTTTGACAGACGGAGCCGTGTAGATAAAAACTGGTTAATGAACATGCGGGTCCTGGCCCCCCTTCGCCGAGAAGGAAGCAACTAGTGTTGCTGCGGGTTTCTGCTAGGTTTTCTTACCGCCCAGAAGTGACACGGCTGGGGAGGGGATCGTTATGAGGAGCTTCTGAGAGAATTTTGGTTAATTAGTGTTCGGGCTTCATGACTTTTAGTTAAGCTTCTCTTAGCTTAAATGCCTTTTTGCTGGGAAGGCTTCATTAGGACAAATTAGCAAGTCTTGGTCCTTCGGGATGGTGAAGCTTGTGTCTGTGGTGTGGCAAGAATTTATTTGGAAGAGAGGAAAAAAATGGTGAGGGCTCCTCTTCCACTTCTGCAGCCAGAAGCCAGAAGGCTTGAGAAACAAGAGGTTTCTGACACCGTTGCTTGAACTGTCTTCAGATTGCAGAACTTGACTCTTTGTAGTCATACACAGCAACCCTTTATGAGTCTGTGTAGTTACAGTGATTAACTGCAACTTTTGTGTAAAAGACTTGCTCCTAGGGCTAGTTGAACTATTGCAGCCTCAAGTATGGATTGGAAGTCTCAAGTGTTGCACTTGTACTGGTTCAGCATTTCTTCCTAATTTCCTCTTGCAATGTGTTGCCTTGCTTTTCTGGGCATACGCTTTGAGGTCTCCAACACTGTGCAGTTTCGTCCAGTTCTTGGAAGTCTTCTTGCTTGTCTCGTCCATAGCATGTACTGTTAATGTCTTATCCCTGATTGGCAGTCACTTCTTTGAAACTGTACTTCTGCACTAACTGTACAACTTGCTGCTTCTTATGGTGCTTGTAAGCACTTGGACAGCCATCCAACTGAAGCCTGTTTGGAAGCTGGAGCTACCCAAGGTCTCAACCAGTGAGAGCTCATTCCTTTGGTGGATGGTTTGTTCCACGATGTAGCAGAGGCTTGTCAAATTTGCAAAGAGGCTCAGAACTAACTACTGGAGGATGTAGAGTGAGGATTCGAGGGAAGTATGAGCTAAGACTTTGGAATTACTTGGTTCATCTGAAGTGCAAAAGTTTTTCCCAATGGACAAGCCATTCGTGGAGTCGCTGTACATTAAAGATGGTTGCTGAAGGATTTGGATAAATTCCTTTGGAGGGCAAGGAATTCTGGAATCTGGAGTCAACAGAGAAGGCCAATGATGACAAGCTACCAGGGATGACAAACTGTCCCTGCAAGGTATAGTTGTCTTGGTTTTATTGTGCTATGCTCTATTTCTTACTGAGGGTAGAGGGGTGGCAAGAGTGAGGTGGAGTTAGTTCTGAAGGTTTCACACTCAAACTTGCAACTACCTGCCAGGTGTTAACTCTTTTAACCTCAGTTCTTAATGAGATCACCACCTGTTTCTTACCTTGTCCCAGGCTATTGCCCCCTGTGCTCCAGAAGCATAGTCTTCTGCTGCTTACTATTGCTATCCCTGTAAAGGTAGAAATGAAGAATCTGTCCACATTGTCACCTGCTTTACTGAACAGCTAAATACTTGAGTTACAGGAAAACTAAATGGCAGGTGAAAATGTTAAATTATCATCTTAATGGCTTCTTCATTAATGGAAAAACCAAATTGGGTATTTTACTGACTTTTATGGGTGCAAGTAGTGTTGGCTTGGATGTTTAGCCCTGGAAAAGGCCCCATAAAGTAATGAACCTGTCACAGGTGACAGGTAAAACCATGAGCATTGCAGTGTACTTCCATTGACAATCATCTGTTGTTATTCACAAGACAGGTGTGATGATGCAGCTTTACAGTAAGCCAGTGGGTTTGAGACACTGACTTCTTCCTCTGCTAGCCAAAGATCTGAGCTGTAGCTGGAGGCCCACATGTGGGACTAGTAAAGTAGAGAATATGACAGCATATGGTAGTGAGGTCAAAGGACAGAACTGTCGTGGAGAGAAAGTAGTGCCTTGTAGCTTTGTCTGCTGAATCGCGAGAGCATGCTGTCTCAGTAAGAGTCAGATTACCTGAAGCTCATGTACATCCTGTAGTTACTAGAGGAGAACCTTTCCCTTGTTTCCTCTGCTAGCTGAGCAGATGCTGATGCTCATTATTCTCAGGTAGTGACAGCAAGCTGCTTTCTGAACTCCACCTTGAAACCAGGTAGATGCACAAACAGGATTGTGATGATTTCCTGCATAGCTGGAAATGAGACTTAATACTTTGGGAAGACCTATGCTCAATTAATATCTCCAATGAGGAGAGTGGCATTTAATTTAACATTGTTAAAGTATACATACCCAGATGAAGTGTTTGCAGCTATTGGGGAAAGCTCCCACACGTGGTCTGAATCATTAAAATGCCATTGTCCTTTTGTAACTGTGAGCTGGCTTGTAATGTGGAGCTCAAACTACAGCCTCAGAATTGCTTTTTTAAAAAATAGGTATTGTTGAATCATTGCAAATAGCTTTCTTTTTCCCAATGAGTTATTTTGATTGTGCTTTTTATCAAGCAACAAAACCAAGAATGTGTAGTAAGAATAAATCTCTTCCTACATCAACAAATTCTTAGAAAAGTGTGCCTTATATTTTATTAGACATGAATCTTACCAGTAGAACTATATTTGCATTGAACAGCTGCATTTGCAAAAAGCAGCTCTTGTACCATTCAGATCATAATGTAATCCATTTTCTTCCAGTTCTTCAGATGCTGTCAAGATAGACTCCAATGCACTCAATTAGGAAGAAAATGCTGTGTACGGAGATGCTCCTCTGCCTGGCCACTGTTTTTTTTTGAAGCAGCAAAAGAGGAGTGTTGCAGAGATCCTTGGCTGCTGACGAAAGACTGTAAATGTGATGCTGTACAAGAAAAGGAAGTAAGAATAACAGCTGGGGTCTGAAATTGTAGTTGCAGAGATGGACAGAAGGCAAGATGCTGGGGCTGACGACGGAGGATTCAAGATGCATGAAACACCAGAGCTCTTGCATGGCTGGAGTTGGAGATACGTGGCTTTTAATACACCTTGGAAAACAGACTCAGAAGGGATACCTGCAAAGTGATGCCTCTTCCAGCATTGGTGTTCCTTCACTAGTGAATTTATAAAATTTATTCCAGTCATAACCCTTTTGATAGTTTTCCCTCAATATCTTTCCTTGTGGCTTCATCTTGCTTGTATAACTTTTGTTTATGCAGTCAGAATTTCTCTGCATGCCTATGACTTGTTTCTTCCCTGATACGTTCGTTTTTACAGTAGAAAGTGTGTCATCCTTACTGATTGATACCGTAAGCAATTCAGTGATTGAGGAAAAACAAAAGAACTTTCTTACTGTATAGATACTCTGTTTGCATACCTCAAGTTGTTTTGAGTCAGTTGAGCAATTAACAAGGGGTGCTGTCAGAATTTGTTGTGGTCAAAATGATTGGATTGATGTGGCTTGACAGCTGAGGGGGATTTGCTTCCTCAGTTAAGGAAACTGTTCCAGACAGCATGCTTCCAGGTGCTCCATGCATGTATTGTGTAGTCAGTCTTCTGTACCTTCCATGGAGCAAAAGAGATAGGAAAAGCTGCTTTGGTGACTATAGAGTGCTCAGGAGGCTGTGGCTGGCAAAGATATTTCTACCTGACTTTTAATTACCCAGTTCTTCAAATCAATGACAATCCAGTTGCCACTTGCTACTCAGAATGGCACTTCTTATTCTTGACACTGCTTCACTGCATATTTAGAACATCTTTAATTTCTGATTGCTTTGGGTTCTCTGTTCTTCTGATGGCTATGGAGGATAAAGTTAAGATCCTCCTACATTTTAAGTCTTTACTGTAAGGTTTTTTTTGTGTGCTCACTGGTGCAATGTAATACTGCTGCCTTGATACATCAAGAGAAATATTAGCAAAAATCTGAGTATTGTGGCCTCAGTGAATTTTTGCTAAAGTGTGGATCCAAGACATTTGTATTTGGTTTAATTTACTGGATTTTTAATTGATGAAGGTAACAAAAGCATGGGTAGGATTGCCAAATATCAGCAGAAATGTACAAGAATAGAAGAAAAAAACTTTTGATCGAGTGCTTGCACTATGAGAACACTCATCCATGCAAGCTGTACATAGAATATTTCATCCTGGAGTGTATAAGCGATAAGCTGTTGCTTGTCAGTAGTTGTGTAGTCATTGAAGGAAGATTAACGAAAGGTATGTTGAGTTAAAATAAGTCTTTACGAATGTTTTAATCCTTTCAAAGTTACTGAAGTAGATCATCACACCAACCCTCCCCACCGCCCCCCAAAATGTGCGCTGTGGCTGAGCAATTTCTACTAATAATCCATTAAATAAACGGTGTCCGCAAAGGTTTAGGAAAGGTTAGGTTTAGAAAAGGTTTAGAAAAATTCATATAACCAGTAAAGTTTCACCCCCTCTGATAGTGCTTTGGAAACAGCTTGGCCTGTTGTCTCATTACAGCTGCTTCCATTTTATTATTTACCAAAATGCTGTGGTAAATATGATGGTTTTTTTCCTTTAGACACTTTCTAACAAGAACTTCAGCTGCCACCAAGGAAGGCTGGCAGTCCTGCAGTACCTGTACTCAGCAGTGAAGCGCAGTTGTTCTTTATCAGGTGTTGGTTTTTGATTTATAGTGTGACTTCTTGCTAGAATGTCATTAGATGGATAGTCTTGCCCAGATACGAAAGAAATCATCTCTAACTAACAATATACACTTTGTTTTTATTTCAGTTTGTTATGTAGCTTTAGAATTACTTCCTTCTATTACGCACTTTGCTAAAGCTGCTGGAGCTTCTGCTGCAGTTGTGGAGATTTTTCTGGTGTGTTTTGTATTTAGCAGAGCAACTGAGAACTGCGAGCCTGGTTGTGTTGACTGTTAATGATGATTTGGGAGCATTACGCTGGTGGTTTTGTGTAATATCTAGAATTGTTTTGAGAAATCCTTGGAGAGGTTTTTTCATCATAAGTTGAAATTTTTAAGCTTTACGCTCGACCTAGGTTAGGCTTTTCCTCGCGGCCGCATGAGGAAGAGGTAACCTGTTGCTGAGGAAGTGTGGTTTAGTATCAATCGGATTGTTATATTCACTGTGCAAGTGTTCTGTTCTTACCTGTTACCAAACACTTCTTGCTAGTGCAGAATGAGCTGCTGAGTGGCAGTCTAGACTCGGGTTTGGGTCATCTGGTGTCCAACCTAGCAGTTGTTATATTGGACCAGTCGGAGACCAAGCCTCTTTCTAAGCTGAAGCTGTTCAATCTGCAGTCCTTTAACTGAAATGTGTTTCTGGGTTTGATCTAGGTCCCTACTGCTTCCCATGAGGCTTGTGTGAGTGTTTATATTCTAATTCATTATGTAGAGTTTGAAAGGAATGATTTGAGAAAGCTTTATATAAAATAAGTTGCTAAATGTTATAAAGTAAGATCAGATATATTTATCTCTGTAGTATTCATTAAGCACTTTTTATTTAGTTGGTTTCATTGACCTTTTCTGGCAGTTTAAATTTATGATTGCCTAATTTTTAAGCTATTGCCATTCCTGATAGAAATTCCTTGCTTTTGTTGATCGGGGGTGGGGGGGAGCCACGTGGTCATACCAGAATTTTCCTGAAGTGCTATGAATTTTCTTAAGCAGACACTTCTTTGCTCAAAAAACAGAGCATCAAAAGCTGTTCAAGAAATGCTGGCTGTGCTTATCTTGAAATAAAGAGAATCCTGGTCATTTCCTTTTTGAGACTTAAAAAAGACTGAGAAGATTGAGCATTCAAAAAAATGATCAGATGAGTTGAGTGGAAATAGTCATGGAGGCAGGGATTTGTAGCTGATGTAGATTGTGTTTGCCCATTAGAATTTGTTGGGGTATTTCAAAGAATTGAAGCTTTTGTGAAAAGATCTTAAGCTGCTCTTTTAGTAATTTCCCTTATCATACAGGCATTTTGGTGTCTGTGTAGGAGGGAATGGAAGGGTTCTGTCATTATTTAAGGGAGATGTTAAATGTTTAGATAAGAATCTTATCTAAACATCACTACACTTCAGAAGTTGTTAGTCTGTTTTCACTGTATGTATTCCAACATAGGGCTGTGAAGGATCTGGTGGGATTCAAGCCATACTCATCCTTTCAAGGGTGATGAGACAGGGTGGCCCAGTTTTGTTCTTTTTTTTTTTTTTTTTAATTTAAAATCTGAGCTGACTTTATGAGAAAGACGGAAACCCCCTGGTAACATGATCTTTTTTGAAACTAGTCACGTGACAGTGTGTGTTTGCAGATGTTCTCATTTCTTTTGTTGCATCTTACCCAGTCTTGCATCATGTCTTGATATCTCATCCATGATAATGGACTTCAGATTTGCTT